ATATATATATATATATATAATTAATTAGGGTTTAGGGTTTAGGGGAGAGGGTGACAAAGGATAATACGGGATACACAACTAGGGTTTACGGTTTAGGGTTTACTGCTTTCAACGGATTAGGGTTTAGGGTTTTCTCTCTTATGAGCGATATACAGCAAGGGTTTAGGGTTTAGGGTTTACTACTACTTATATAACAAGGGGAAATATATGTCTAGGGTTTAGGGTTTAGGGTTTAGGGTTTACCATGTTATACACAAAACGGATATCTCTTGGCCATCTTCTTAAGGCGATTTGCATCAATTCAATACCCGCCGTAAAGAACTGCACCATAAACCCTAAACCCTAAACCCTAAACCCTAGAGGCCAAACCCTACTAGACCCTAAACCCTTGTGGCCAAACCCTCTGTTAAAGCCCCGATTGTCACGACAAGTTTGTTACAAAGGGTTTAGGCTTTAGGGTTTAGGGTTTAGGGTTTACGTACACCACAGTCATGGAAGAGACGACCAATAGCGAGGTAAACATTCCTCTCTGTAGGCAAAGCATCTGCTGCTGCTAAGTAATGGAAAAGGGCCTGCAGCAGCAGCAGCAGCAGCAGCAGCAGCAGCAGCAGCAGCACAGCATAGTATGGCACATTAGGGTTCATTAGGGTTTACTAGGGTTTACTAGGGTTTATATTACAATCAACTATCGTAACATCACATATTAGGGTTTAGGGTTTCCTAGGGTTTACGGTTTCCTAGGGTTTAGGGTTTATGAGGGTTTAGGGTTTATGAGGGTTTAGGGTTTACGTACTTTATTAAGTTTATTATGATCAATTTTAGTAACATCATTACCAATAAGAAGATCTTTTCTTGAAGAAAACGCATGCAAAGAGAAAAAAGCCCCAAAATTAAATTGTAATACACCATAGATATAATTATTCAATTTGCATGCAAATACACGACGGAAAGCTAATAACGCTAAACGCTGCAGCAGCAGACACACAGGACAGACACAATATATTTATTTATTTATTTATTTATTTATTTATTTATTTTATTTATGTGCTTATTTAGGTATGCATGCATGCATGCATGCATGCATGCAACAAAGTAACTGCATGAGCTACCAGTCTTGTTGCTGCTGCTGCTCCTGTTGCTGCTGCTGTTGGTACTGTTGCTGCTGCTGTTGCTGCTGCTGCTGCTTGTCTCACCGTCAGTCCTTGATAAGCCATCCACACACCAAGCCCCAAAGCTGCATGCGCATTTCCTACGAATGGCGGCTGCAGAGCTAAGCAACAATTATAACGAAATTCAGCAAAGGATTCGTTTGCTCTGCATGCAAATAGCAGCAACAGCAGCAGCAACAGCAGCAGCAACAGGAGCAATATTAGATGAAAATCAAGGGGAGAATGGTACACAGTGCTGTTGTTCCTGCTGCTGCTGCTGTTGTTGCTGCTGCTAATGTTGCTGCTCTTTGGTGTGTGGGGGTGTGTCTGCTGCGGTAGATGTAATGTGTTACAATTAGGGTTTAGGGTTTAGGGTTTAGGGTTTACTTGGGGTGTCCTGCAGCAGCAAGTTTCTTAGCTCTAGCAAAATGAATAGCAGCAAGGAAGGAGAAAGCCATGGGGTCTCTAGGTCTTTTGCTGCTGCTGCTCTTTTTCTTCTTCTTGATGCTGCTGCTGCTATTATTTTTATCTCCTGCTGCTGCTGCTGCTGCTGCATCAGGGTTACCTATATCTAATGCCCGCTGCACTAACGCCAATGCCTTATCATGACGACCAGCACTAAGCATAAAGGAGGCAGCATACAGACAGGCAAGAACAACATCAGACCTGCTGCAGTAGCTGCTGCTGCTGCTGCTGCTGCTGCTGCTGCTGCTGGTCGTGGCGCTGCGAATAAAGGCCTCTGCGTTAAAATGAGCACCATAGAGAGAACGGCGCTGCAGCGCCAATTGCATGCGGAACAGCAGCTGCTGCTGCTGCAGTTGCTGCCGCAGCTGCAGCGGCAGCAGCAAATCTAAAAAATAAATTAAATGACGAATACAAGAAGGTCTTAATGCTATTCTCTCGTCTCCTTCCCATATCTCCTCTGCTGCTGCTGCTGCTCTTGCTGCTGCTGCTGCTGCTGCTGCTGTTGATCCTGGTGCTGCACCTGCTCCTGGGGGTGTTCCTGGTGCTGCTGATATAGATGAAGCGGCAGGAGATGCACCTCCTACTGCAGCGACACCTGCTGCTGCTGCTGCTCCTGCTGCTCCTGCTGCAGCAGCAGCAGCAGTAGGAGGGGAAGCAAGAAAGCGCAGCAACATAGATAGCTGTGCATGCGCACCAAGAGCAGAGAGACAAAGACACAAATTAAAGCAGCAAATACCAGCAAGAGCAGCACCATCTTCATCCTCATTTGTGCTGCTGTTGCTGCTGCTGCTGCTGCTGCTTCTGTTGCTGCTGTTGCTGTTGCTGTTGCTGTTGCTGTTGCTGCCGTTGCTGCTGGAAGTGGCTCCGGCAGAACTCCCCGCAAGCCCTTCTTCCATCTCACCAGTCCCCTGCTGCTGCTGCTGCTCGCTGCTGCTGCTGCTGCTGCTGTTGCTGTTGCGGCAGGAGAGGTGCAGCACAAGAGCAGCAAGAACACGTTGTGCTTCTCCTGGTCTATCTGCTGCTAAAAGGAGACACCCGTAGTTATGCAGAGCAGCAGAAGGTAAATTGTCTCTCCTAAGGAATGCATCTATCTTATGACGGAGGGGTACCTGCTGCTTCTGCTTCTGCTGCTGCTGTTGCTGCTGCTGTTGCTGCTGCTGCTGTTGATGGTCTTCATCCTGATCCTCATCCTCATCCTCTTGTTGCTCTTGCTGCTGTCGCATTGGCTGCTGATTCTGCTGCTGCTGCTGCTGCAGGTTGTATACTGCATTAAGAAGAGCAGTATATGCATCTACAGTCTGCAGCAACAGCTGCTGCTGCTGCTCCTGCTGCTGTCCATTACCCAGCAGCAGCACCTCGCAGCAACGGCAGATACCTAGCAGCACACCTAGATGCTGCGGTGCTGCTGCTGCTGCTCGCTGCAGCAGCTCAAGGGCTTCTGCATGCAGCTGCATATAACGAGCAGCACGAGCTCCTGTCTGGCAAGGCTCCAGCATCTCCTGCTGCTGCTGCTGTTGCTGCTGCTGTTGCTGCTGACGCTTCTTGTCAATTCCTTGTTGCTGCTGCTGTTGCTGTTGAGCGGTAGGCCGATCGACTTGCATATGCACACTACCATCATCCTGCTGCTGCTGCTGCTGCTGCTGCGCTGCAGCATCAAGATATTCATCAGCAAGTGTCTCTGCTTCCGTTAATAGAGCAAATGCCTGCAGCAGCAGCACCTCCGTGCATGCAGGCAAAGCCCTAAATACAGCAGCAAGAGCTAATTGTGTCTCCTTTCCTTTTCTTAGGGAAACACAGCATTGTGCTGCATGGTAAGCTGCTGCTGCATGCAGCCCCGATTGCATGCATGCAGCAGCAAAGTGTGATAGTGCTGCTGCTGTGTCTCCACGCTGCTGCCGCAGCAAACCCCACAAATAAGATGCCTCTGCTGCTAAGGAAGCGCAGCAAGGAGGGATATGAATCTGCTGCAGCAGCTGCTCTGCTGCTTCGTGCTGCTGCAGCAGCAGCAAACGACCACATAGCTGCAGCAGCACAGCAGGATCACTAGGGTTTGCTGCATGCGCCTGCAGCAGCAGCTCGTTCTGCTGCTGCAGTCCCTCTGGTGTCCTACAATCTGCCTGAAGCAGAGCAACAGCAGCAGCAGCATTACAACCACTGCTGCTGCTGCTGCTGCTGCTGCTGCTGCTAGGGTTTAGTGCTGCTGCTCTCTTGAATGCTATTAGTGCTTCTTCTTGTCTTCCTAATCGCAGCAAACAAACACCCATGGCATATCTTAATTCAGCAGCAAATGTTTGCTGCGTGCAGCAGACACACTGCTGCTGCTGCTGCTGCTGCTGCTGCTGTTGCTGTTGCTGCTGCTGCTGCTGCTGTTGTTGATGATCATGCTCTTGGGGGGGAGGAAGATATGCAACAAGCGTTGCATATATAGAGAGAGCAGCAGCAAAGCAGCGCTGCAGCACAGCGCATGCAGCAAGCCCCAAATAAGCAGCAGGATGCGTAGGGTTATAAGTAATTACATGCCTAAATATTTGTGCTGCTCGCTGCAGTTCTGCTGCTCTCCGCTGCTGCTGCTGCTGCTGCTGCTGCTGCATATCCAACAGCAGCTGCTGTGTATCACAGGATCCAGATCCTGTTAAGGAAGTTGCTGCTGCTGCTGCAACTGCTGCTGTTGCTGCTGCTGCTGATGCAGGTATTCCTACAGTTGTTGCTGCTGTTGTCCCTGCTGCAGCTGCTGCAGATGCTGCTGCTGCAGTAGCAGCGGCAGCAGCAGCAACATCTCCTCCTGATCCCTGCAGCACCGCAGCAGCTAAGGCCAACATACCATTCATTAATAGACACAATAGATCAGGATCCTTATAGCGCAGCAGCAAGGTGTCTGGTGGTCTGTTGCTGCTGCTGCTGCTGCTGTCTCCTTTATATGCTTCTGTTAATCCTGCTGCTGCTGCTGCTTTATCTCTCCATTCTGCTGCCTGCAGCAGCAGCAAACGACGCTTGTTGCTGTCCCCTGCATGCAGCCCCATGAATAAATAATGCGAACTAAGGGAAGCAGCAACACGAACACGCCAATCTCCTGTCCAGCATCCTCTCGGTCCTGCTGCTGCTGCTGCTGCAGCAGCAGCAGCAGCACCAGTAGTAGTACTTGCAGCAGCAGCATTTGTTGATGAAGGAGAAAGAGATGCTGCTGCTGCAGGAGAAGAAGATGCTGTTGTTGCACTTCCTGCTGCTGCATTTGCTGCTGCTGCTGCTGCATTCCCACTATCCTGTGCTGCTGCACTTGCTGCTGCTGCAGCACCAGCAGCAACAGCAGCACCACCAGGAGGAGCAGCAAGAGGTAATACAGGAGGAGGAGGAGCAAGTAATGGTGAATAAGAGGAATAAGCATGTTGATGATTAGCTGCTGCTGCTGCTGCTGCTTTATGCAGCAGCAGCAGATCCATCTCTTGTAGGGGACGTATACATATATCTATATTATTATATAATAAAGAATTACTATAATAATATCCATCTCTTATTATTTCCTCATAAACCCTAAACCCTCCATCATAATAAAACCCTAACCCTACCCCGAGCCAACCCTCGAGGCAGCAGACCTCTCTTTTTAGCATATCTCTTATAAAATTG